CAAGACAAATTGGGGAACGTTTTTATTTAAAAGTACTTTCAAAATGAGATGTAATTTTAAATATTAGTTTTCAAACAAAAATTACGATAATTTTCTTCAAATGCTCAAGCAAAATTAAAAGCTATGCTAAATGGGCTCATTGGAAAATAATCCGAACTATGCAGGAAATAAAGGCGAAAGGTCAAGAATACCCCTCGATATGTTTTGTTATTGACGCGTATAAAATAGAAATAAAAATCCAAATCTTCACACTACTTGCAAAGCAGACAAACGATTTGGGAGCGCCAAAAAACAGTTAGAGAAAGCGATAGAGAAAATGTCGAACGTCGAGGAAGGCAGGAGCTCCGTCACCGGTCCATCGCCTTACATTCATCTGAGAGTTAAGGGACAGGTATTAATCATTTCTTCTTCTTACATTTTCGATACATTTCTTCCGTTGAATTTTTGTAAGAATTGTTGTTTAATCATGTTTATGGGTGCCTAACGTTTCTTTTTTACTTGATTGACTTGAATTTAGTTACTTTATGCTCATCAATTTATAGTGCTTTACTGTCGTGTTCATTCTTTATGGAGTTGTGCATGATAGATTTTCTTGCCGCTAACTGTACGTATGTACAGAATAAGTCGTGAATTTTGTTATTAATTTAGTAGGAATTTGCATTCTTGTGGTTGGTAATCATAAAATCGATTAGTAGGTTAGGGCTTATGAATTTTGTAGAGGAAATATTTTTCGGTCTTAAAATTTGACTTCTTGCTTTTGAACTTGAAATTAAAGTTGTAGAAGAATTCTCTTTCAAGAATTGTGTGGATGATCGATCAGTTTTACATGTTTATTGCTCTACTAAATTCGGCTGAATAATTCAGAAATGGCGGATCTAGTTGTATGTTTTGACGTAGTTTATGACTTTATTCTCTGCAATTTTGCTTGCATTTCTTGAAATTCTTGTGATATTGGATCAACAAAATCCTTGGCCGTAAAATGTTTCTACAAGGGAAGGGGGAGAGTGCTGTCAATTTTTCCATTTGTCACAATTTTAATTTTGCGAGGGCTTCTTAGTTCTTCCTGCATTTTTATCCATGAGTATAAGCAAACTGGCTCCCCTCTATTTACTTTTGCGTGGCAAGTTAAATTTCATCAATCAAATTCATTTTGTGGAGAACTTATGTAATACTGGAAATCATGTACTTCTAACTCTGTCAGTCATCATATTATTTTGGAGGGTTGTTGCCAATTGTAATAGTATTGTTGGATTGAAATCATTTGACATCTTCAAAGTCGAATAGTTTTACAGTTGCTTTGCAATTCTTTATAGAAGTCTCTTAACAATAAACCGCAAATTAAAATTCTAAAGCAAATTAACATTCTTGAAATTTTTGTTGGGACTGTGAATTCCGTTTGTATTTCAAGCATGCAACATATGAAGCTAATGAGCATTTATTGTGTACGACTAGCATTTGAGTTCTAATACGTTGAATTTTGCTGCAATTTTTGGATTTTCAAAAATTATGTCTTGAATTTCTTGTGGTATTGGATCCAAAATACTTGTCCAGTAAAAAATGTTCTAGAAAAAGGGAAGGGGGTGAGTGCTGTCAATTTTGTCGTTTGTTGCGCTTCTTAGTTCTTCCTGCACTGAGTATAAGCAAATTGCTTCCCTCAGTTTACTCTTGCGAGAATGTGTAATGTAAGCAAATCCACCAATTTCAGTTTATTAACTGAATGATATTATTCATTTGGTGAACAACTTATGTAATAATGGAAATCACGTGCTTCTCAGATGGCAAAAATTACTTTGGACTTTCAGAAGAAAAAGGATCAGGAATAAGACTGAGCTTCTTTTTCCTGTCGCCAATGTGTAATAGTGTTGATTGGATCCATATCATTTGACATCTTCAAAGTTGAATAGCTTTGCAGTTCTTAATACAAGTCTCTAACAATAAACCGCAAATAAAAGTTTCAAAGCAAATTAAACTGTCATGAAATTTCTGCTGGGACTGTGAATGCTTTTTGTATTTCAAACTTGTTAATGTTTGAATATTGGTTCATTTCTGTATGTAATTTGTTACTTTTATGTAGAATGGAAATGAAGAGTATTTCAAGATGAAGAGAGGCTCGCAATTGAGGAAGCTAATGACTGCTTATTGTGAACGACAATCATTACAGTTTGATGCTACTGTATTTTTGTTTGATGGCCGTCTCCTACGACCAGAGCAGACTCCTGACGAGGTTACTTCTCTTCACCTCAACCCTCCCTTCTCTCTCTCATTCCTGAATTTACTTGTACAGTTCACTATTTCCTCTCCAAAATACAGAAACTTTAACGTAGGCATTTTATTCTCTACAGCTGAAAATGGAGGATGGCGATGAGATTGATGCTATGTTGCATCAAACTGGAGGTGTCGTTGGTGCTTCGTGAAGGATGAAGAGAAATGTAAGGCCTTGTGGTGTTTCAATACTAATCTGCCTGTCTGATTCTTCTAAGTGAAGGGGTTGTAGATATCTCGATTACTGGTCTATTGGTGTCGAATATCCATTTATGGACTTTGTCATTGAACTTGGTATATCACCGTATTCTTTCCTCGGGACAAATTAAGGAAACTCAGTAAAATCGGAATCTATAGTCTAAGATGGATATGGAGACATTTTTGTTCATCAATAGATGAAAATATATTAGTGTTTGTAGAGTTCTAGGTCGTTAGCTTTGTGTTCTTGGTGAATGGAGGCTAAAGGCCATTCTGGAATTACTATCCTCTTAACTGCATTTCAAAGATGACACTTTTCTTTGAGTTTCTTGTTTTGTTTTCAAATTTATGTCAAATTTCTTTATATTACTTAGGGAAAAATACACTTTATATAGGTTTAGTTATACTTAATTCTTTATTACGTAAATTCAAAAAATCCACATAATCTTTCATTGGTAAATAGTCGGCTTAAGATACTACAAGGTTAAAGACTTCACTTTTATACGTTGGTATCTTTTTGTCAAGTTTACACAGCCCGTCAAATGTTGGATTTAATGAAGATGTATTGTGCTCTTTTCATATCTTTTAT